AATATCTAGAAGTACTAACGGACATAGACCACTCTTGAATGAAAATATCACATAGGCGCTGTTTGAAAAGAGACATAAAACAGTCTTCATTGCCAACCCCTTGGGCAAGCCATACATAGGAAAATCCAGTAGAAAAGGGTAATAATCTAACATTAGACACCCAATTAACTTTACCAATATCATCTTGTAATTTCGAAAAAAGATAACACTGTTTAGGATACCTTAAATAATGCATTTGTACCAACTTTAACCAATATTTAACTCCTCTTATTCTGCCGAACACAAACATATTACATGTACCAGTTTCTCCATATATAGCCTTATTAGAAGCAAATTTACCTAGATTTAGAAATTGTTTTAAAAATGTAGCTTGTACCTTTTCTATACAGTGAAAATACGCCATACCCCCAATTTCTGATCCATATAGAAGAATAGGCCTTATTTTACAATCAAAGATGGTACAAGCATTTTGGAAAGAGATAAAAGAGTTAGTTTTGAATACATTATAAACAGAGTAGGCTGCCTTAGATGCTTGTGTTGCCAAACTTTTACACGCTGTTGCCCAATTCAACCTTGAGGAAAATATCAATCCAAGATATTTATAATATGAAACACAATTAAGTTTTACATTTCCATAGTACCATTTTTCTTCCTTTTAAAACACCGCCATTTCTAAAAGACAATAACATTTGTTTTTCTAAATTCACACTTAAACCCCATCTCGTGCAAAATTCATGAAGAACATTTAACTGTTGCTGAAGACCAATGATTGTGTAAGAGAACATATTAATATCATCTGCAAATAATAACATCATAATATCCTCAATATCTGGAGATATAAAAACACCATGTTTACATTTATTATGAATTTCTGCGGCAAGTTCGTTAATGAAAAGAATAAAAAGAAGCGGACTTAAAATGCATCCTTGCCGTACACCTGAACTAGTGAAAAACATATCAGTTTTGCAATTTCCAATCTTTACACAGGATCTAACGGATGAATACATATTATGCAGAAGATTGTACATTTTTCCATGTCAACCTGTTTTTAACAACATATATAAAAGTTTTGAACGATCTACATAATCGAAAGCCTTTCTAAAATGAACAAAGGCACAGGAAAATCGTCCCTTTGGCCTTGAGAGGTCTTTGGCCTTTAGAACAGAGAATTTGAATGTAAATATATTGTCCACTGTGGAATAGCCGGGTCTGAAGCCAGCTTGAGCTTCTGTTAATATATCATTCAGATCAGTCCATGCACGAAGACGTTTATCTAGGATGGATGTGAATATTTTTCCTGATACATTTAAAAGCGATATACCCCTATAATTGTTGGGATCAGCTGTAGGTCCTGATTTAAGTAATGGTATAATTATTGCAGTATTCCAAGATTCAGGAAATATGCCAGTACTCAATATTGCGTTAAACAATGGATTTAGAAAACACAACAATGATGCGTGTCCTAACTTGAAGAATTCAGGAGGAATTCCGTCATCTCCGGGAGATTTTCCAATTTTCAACTTCTTGATAGCCTAAGTAATTTCTAGATCAGAGATAGGATCAGACAGTAACTGATCTATGCCACTTGAGGATACACAATCATCACACGAATGTTCAGCTATGAAATTATTAACGTGGGAATCAAATGCTTCATCTTCTTTAGGCTTATTAGGATTTAAAAGCGATTTAAAATAGTCAATAAAAACATCAGCTGATATTGGAAAATGTTCGTTTTTTCTTCGAAAAGAGCGTTTTAAAATGTTCCAAAATTTCTTGCAATCACCAGATCTAGCAGCCTGGCACAAGTCATCTGCCAACTGTTTTCCTAGATTTTCCTTTTTCTTAGCACATGTTGATTTAAATTTATTTCTAGCTTCCACATATTTTTGCAGATTTTTCTTACAGGTATATCTGCGAAATAAGTCTTACCCCACTGTATCTCGTTTTCCCCTGTCCTGCCTGAATTAAGGGCTAACGACGTGTTTAGGTAAGGAATTCTCATTGGTATATTCTGGTCATTTTCAGACAAGTGTACACAACACAACATTATCATTCACATCTGTGTGCATTTATTTGATAGTTATTCTAGGCATCTAACATATTTTCCCAGTTCTATATGGCACAACAATGTCTAAATACACTTTGTTTACTTTAAGCAAACAGATGAATATACGAATATTCTGTGATTTGTCTTACTGAAAGAAGCGATACCATTCCAAAACAATTCTCACTGCAACATAAGGTGCTTGTAGAACGTTTTAAGGTTCTGTTTCTGTTACTGAGAGAGAACTTAATGAATAATTGAGTTTTTCCGGAAATGTGTCATTTTAACTCCGATAAACAGTCACACAGTCTCCATAAATAATACTTGATGCCAAACGTTTCCGCCTAAAACCCGAACCACATCCGGCACTGACTCTAAAGTTGCAATCTGGGTTGAGCACAGTTCAGTTGAGTGTCTTGCAATATGGCCACAGCTACAATGAAACTAATGGTTTGGTGGATCACACTGCGTATGTGTCTGTGTCATCAGCCCCCAAACCCTTTCCTGCGTCATGAAAGAATCTCATTTCAACTGGACAGCCGGACGTCCATGGCTGATCTGTCAGGTCCTGTCTTCAGCCACGTCAGCAAAGTAAAGTGTACCCTGATATGCTTTGAAAACACCTCCTGCACATCTGTGTTCTACTGGAAAAGCGAGGGGAAGTGTAGAACTACTACCGCACCACAAGCACCTGCTGAACAAGGTGGGCATGGCAACGCAACCATACAAGAACCAAAGGTAAACAGACATGATTCAAAGAGCAACGCCACCATACAAGATCCACAGGTAAACAGACATGATTCAAAGGTCAACAGACCAGATCCCAAGATCAACAGACCAGATCCCCAAAACAAGGTCACCAAACAGGATCCAAAGATCAAGGTCTACTATGGCGTTCTAAGAAACGTGAGTAGCACCATTGTCGTTATTCAGTACTAAATGTGGTCAAGGGCGGTGGAATGTTGTTTGTTGTTGTTTGGTGTTCAACACAATATTCCAGCTATACGGCGGCTTTCTGTAAATATTCCAGTCTGAACCACACAAGCCAGTGGTCAACGGCATGAGAATGGGTCTACGCAATTGGGATACATATGCTAACCAATTCACCCTGACCACCCGATCCCGTTAGTCGCTTCTTGCAACAACCGTGGGTTACTGAAGACCAATTCTAACCCGGATAAGGGAGAGAGAAACATACAAAACCTTGCATACGAAAGAATAAAGGTGAGGTGAAATTGGGTTTAACATCGTGCTTGAGAGTATTTTGCTCATATGACGACGTGCATGCGTGTGTATGCGTATGTGCGTCTGCTTGTACTAGCCCAGACTGAGGCTGGTTTTATAGTGCTAGCCCACTGAGACACCATGCCGCAGTCAGACACATTATACTGACACCGAGCCAACCAGTCCTTGATGTACCCACTAATGCCGAGCGCCAGGCAGGGACCAACAAGTACCATATTTTAACGTCTTTTGGTATGACACGAAAGAATAGACTTGAGCACTGCTGTGTGAGTACTGCGACAAATGAAGGTCGCATTTGGTCCCTGTTCCTGAATTCTAATCACTTATAAGCGATGCATCCTGACTAGCCGAAGGCAACGAGTATATGATATTTGCATGTTCCTTTTATGTGGCGAGTTGTCCTTGATGCACGTGTGGTACCTGCTACAGGCCCTGCCCAGTTCCGCTTGATCGCAGTGAAATTTTAGTTTTAAACTCACTCACAACACACCCTGCTTATACACGTGCATGAAACCCACTCTAGAGTTGATTTTAACAATGGCACAACGTCAATATGGTGTCCTGGATATTGTTTCTGCCAACCACTGACGTTCACTAAGAAATATACATTTCGGTGAGTAATACCTGCGTGAGGTAAACCTGTGTGAGTGAGTGAGTGAGAGAGTGATTGAGTAAGTGAGTAGGCTTTTACACCGCCCTTAGCAATATCCCAGCAATGTCACGGCGGGGGACACCAGTAAAGGTCTTCCAAAACTGTACCCAAGTGGAGAATCGAACCCAGATCTTAGGCATGACGAGCGAACGCTTTATCCACTAGGCATCTCCGCCGTCCGAGATTATGTAATATGCCCTCTGAACCAGTAAACTTACAAGTAGTGATCTAAATATGTTTTGTCAATTTATTTGTTTGTTTAACGCCACACTCAGCAACTGTCGAGTTGAATAACGGCGGTCCGCAAAAGAACCAATTTGCACAGGTAACCCAGTGACTGACACGGCGATCCACTTACATGAACTATATTTAAATCGATGGTTTTAAAGAATATTTTTAAGTGAAGAGGATGTATTCGCATGAGACTAGCTGCATACGAGCGAATAGACTTCGCGATGCTGGCCAATGTTTGGAGGAAAGAGCGGCTGGTTGAAAGACGACATAGTCCTGCCGGGCACTTGGCCTTAAAGGCACAATGTCACACAATTCGACAATATGTTGGCCTCTATTTTATATATTGGGGTCGCATGTACTCACTTTAGCTTCCTGTTGATGCAGTAAAAGACTTATTATCCCTTACGTCTTGCCTGAAATCGATAACTGAAACTTCGAGGCGAACAGCTTCCAAATAGATAATACTTGCCATATATGGAATGTAAACGTTTGCTCCATACATCGATAACTGCCGCAGGGGGTGTTGAGGGGTTTTGCCGAACTGCTTTCAATAACAAGTTGCGTTATAGTGTTCCAAGAGACATACCGCTATAGGGTTCGCTTGAAATAATGGTCGCCCGGTAGAGGGCGCGAGAGTCGAATAAATGCAACGTTGCATTAATTCATTCGAACTTTAAAATTTAATATTGTAATCCCTATACGTAATTTTGTTTTGAATAAATTATGTGGTAGCTTCCCTGAGGGCTAATAGTTCGTATTATTGAGAGAAATGCATAATGTACTATTTCAAAACAAGAAAGCGCACACACACGCGCACGCACACAAAACATGTAACTGTTGATACAACTCACCAAATAGTTGTACTCAGTGGCAAAAGTTATTATGACATGGAATTCTTTCTTCGGTAATTTTGTGAAAGAATTTTTCGATTTGAGTGAAAGAGTGTTTATGGTTGCTTTAATCTCAGTCACTCACTCAACCATCCTGCCACTCGCTCACTCACTCACTCTCCCACTCACTCACTTACTCATCCACAAAGAGTGTTAAAATTGTCGAAGAAACACAACCAAGCATTTTTGAATTGCACGAATATAAATACATGTAGTTGACAATGTTTCAAACCGGTACCTCTGTCATTGTTCGTCGATTCAACGTGTTAGAAAACACTATTTGGCACACTTATGGCGACATTTTTAACCAAGCAATGAAGGTATCAACCGTCCCCATGGCCGCCTTCCAGTTTCGACCCTCTAGGACTCGAACTTCTGGCACAGGTTTTAGCCAGCAACTGAATTCTGAAGCGAGAACATCAACGTCGAAGTCTCCATTGAAGAAGAAAACACTGACGATGGGGAACGCGTAAGTGGAAAAGAGTTCTCCTTATCGGGGAATCAAGTTTCCTTCTTTACCGAGCCTACGGTAGGACTCATTGTGTTTCAACGTGGTGACGTGAGAACACAAGCTGCTCAAAGTTTCGAGGATACAGAATCTCACTATACTTTATGTGTCCCATGAATACCGTATCTGTCTCGGGGCATTTTCAGTTCACGATCATGTGTAGATTTAGAAACCAATCTTTTCCAGATTATCCAACCTATGGTGTGGATTTACTTCAAGGAAATTGACTTGTACCTGATCTACTAAAATGACAAGAAGCGGTTTCAGGAGGCAGAAGTTGTCTGTAAGAACCTACCAGGAGACACCTCCCTCTTTCAAGTAGACAGCCAGAAGAAACAAGACATCGCCGTCAGACTAGTGGAACACTCTGGTATTTACCTACAGCACTGAGTGAGTGAGTGAGTGGATGAGTGGATGATTGAGTGCGTGATTGGATGGTTCAGTGATTGAGTGCGTGATTGGATGGTTCAGTGATTGAGTGCGTGATTGGATGGTTCAGTGATTCAGAGCGTGATTAGATGGTGCAGTAATTGAGTGCCTGATCGGATGGCTCATTGATTGAGTGCCTGATTGGATGGTTCAGTGATTGAGTGAGTAACTGAGTGAGTTATTAATTGAGTGATTGTGATTCAGTGATTGACTGAGTGAGTGGTAGGATGGGTGAATGCGTAGTAGGGTGGTTGAGTGAGTGAGTTTAAAATCACCTTTAACAGTATTTCAGTCATATGCTGACATGTCGGATTGGTCTGGAATTTGTTTTTGATAAGATATGTCTTAGATACTGACAATATTAGTGATACACACAGATGTGGTCCTTGCAAACCTATAGTCGGGGCCCGCGGGAATCGAACCCACAATAACAGGTTAATGGCACGCCTACAGGATACTGTGCACATATATACAAGTGCGGCGCTTGAGATGCCCCCTGTGCCGGTTCGTGAGAGGATGCAGATGAATGATGTAGAAACTGAATTTCATACCAGTACTACATTCCGTACATACTGCCCGGGAGGGGCTGCTTTTTTAACGGTTCGTCTCCACAATTACAAAATATTTCATTTTTGTTTAAATTATCTTGTTAAGTTCGTTATGTGATCATAAAAAAATATTTTAATCCAGTTTCAAACTGAAGATGTTAAGTATGTCATGTGTTTATGGACAAAATGACATTTAATTTTTAGCTCAAGAAAAGATCTTCATCGGCGTGTACTATGACATTCCTGGTGGCTGGACGTACATGGACGGGTCGTCGGCCAAGTACACCAACTGGGCTCCCGGGAAGGCCAATTTTCCGCAGTTTGCACGGTCAGCGATGCTGGTTAAAAAGAATAGTTACAAGTGGAAGACTACTAGCTTTGAAGAGAAGACAGGTTGGATTTGTCAAAAAAAAAGCCCCAAAACTAAACTGATGGGGCAAGTGGCAGGAGTGACTGATCGAGTGAGTTGGGTTTTACGGCGCTTTTAGCAATATTCCAGCAATATCACGGCGGGGGACACCAGAAATAGGTTGCACACATTGTGCCCATGTGGGGAATTGAGCCCGGGTCTTCGGCGTGACAGGCGAACGCTTTAACCACTAGGCTATCCCACCGCCGCAAGTGGCAGGATTCTGTGGGGATAGTGAGTGGGTGAGTATGGTTTTACGGCGCATTTAGCAAAATTCCAGCAATATCACGGCGGGGACACCAGAAATAGGCTTCACCTGTGGGGATAGAAAGGCAGACTTGAGAGACCAAGGCGGGGGTAATGTTATGTAAGCGAGTGTGGTTTTATTGGTTTTATGTTTTACAGTTTACCAATATCCTAGCAATGTCATGCCCGAAAATGGGCTCACACAATGTACCTGTGTGGGGAATCGAACCCGAGTCTTCGGCGTGACGAGCGAACTCTTTAGCTCTTGAGCCGCACCACCGCCATAATAATAAGTATATTTGTTAGGGAGAACATACATAGTTTTATGTTGTTTTCTTAATTATATACACGTACTATGGTGAACCCATGTTGATAATATACTCGTGTATACTGTGGCACTTGACGTGCTGCTAATAAGACAATAAATTGGGCATAATCCATGTGTTGAGTATCGTTGCGGTGTTCAGACGTGACCACGTGTGGCGTCATCACGTTGCCAGATAATCTGTAGTCACTGTTTAATTCATTTGATCAAAAGATTACATTTTGGGGGTAGTTCTCAGGTATTACAGTCAAACATGTTGTTGATAATGGTTGTCTTGAGAATTGACATATGACATATGAATTCGTGAACACATGATATCATGACTATTTGATGTGATCCATACGATATCCATGATAGAATGATGTAGTCGGAATCCTGCAATAGACATTCATCTTGGAAGGATTGGTTGGTTGGCTGTTTAACGCCGTACTATTCCAGCTATATGGCGGCGGTCTGTTAATAATCGAGTCTGCACCAGACAATCTAGTGATCATGTACGCAATTGGGATATTATGAGATGTGTCAACCAAGTCAGCGAGCCTGACTACCCGATCCCGTTAGTCGTCTCTTACGACGAGCATGGGTCCAACCTGGAATTGGTTTCCTGTAGATTTAGAAAGGGTTTTTTATCGCGTTCATACTTTTTATCGTTCCGTTCCCCAGTCAAAGAAATGAGTTGCATCATTTATGACACAAAACCCCCTTGTAAACCCCAGGGTCTAGATTTTCGAAGCTCTCATAGCGTTAAGATAGTCGCGAGTGCCATACATTAACATTAACTTACGACTATCTTAGCGCTAAGTGAGCTTCGAAAATCTAGACCCAGGTTCATGCACCAGTGTCATGACCCCCATTTTTCAGGGTGAGTGAGTGAATTCACCTTGAACATGACATCTGCGTTATTTTAGCCACATTGCTACGAGACCAAGTAAATCATATGCAATGTTATATCAAAAAGTGTAATTGTTATACGCATAAAAGAATGGTGTGAAATATACAACTGTTGAAAACACGGAGAGAAAGACATCAGCTACAAGTGAGTGAGTGAGGTACGCCGCTTCCAGCAATATTCCAGCAACATCACTGCTGGGGACACATTCCAACAACCAGCAACAATTAAGTGAGAGAGTCAGGTTGAACGCCGATAACAGCAATATGACAGCAATATCACAGCTGGTGACACATTTCAGCAACCAGCAACCAGTGAGTGAGTCAGGTTGAACGCCGATTACAGCAATTTGACAGCGATATGACTGCTGGTGACACATTCCAGCAACCAGCAAAACGTGAGAGTGTCAGGTTCTACGCCGATTACAGCAATTTGACAGCGATATGACTGCTGGTGACACATTCCAGCAACCAGCAACATGTGAGAGAGTCAGGTTGAACGCCGATTACAGCAATATGACAGCAATATCACTGCTGGGGACACATTCCAGCAACCAGCAACAAGTGAGAGAGTCAAGATGTACGCCGAATACAGCAATTTAACAGCAATATGACAGCTGGGGACACATTCAAGCAACCAGCAACAAGCGAGAGAGTCAGGTTGTACGCCGATTACAGCAATATGACAGCAATATGACTGCTGGGGACACATTCCAGCGACCAGCAACAAGTTAGAGAGTCAGGCTGTACGCCGATTACAGCAATTCGACAGCAATAAGAAAGCTGGTGATACATTCCAGCAACCAGCAACACGTGAGAGAGAGAGGTTGTACGCCGATTACAGCAATTTGACAGCAATATGACTGTCTGGGACACATTGCAGCAGCCAGCAACAAGTGAAAGAGTCAGGTTGTACGCCGATTACAGCAATTTGACAGCAATATGACAGCTGGGGACACATTGAAGCAACCAGCAACAAGTGAGAGAGTCAGGTTGTACGCCGATTACAGCAATTCGACAGCAATAAGAAAGCTGGTGATATATTCCAGCAACCAGCAACACGTGAGAGAGAAAGGTTGTACGCCGATTACAGCAATTTGACAGCAATATGACTGCCTGGGACACATTACAGCAGCCAGCAACAAGCGATAGTGTCAGGTTGAACGCCGATTACAGCAATTTGACAGCAATGTGACTGCTGGTGACACATTCAAGCAACCAGCAACAAGTGAGAGAGTCAGGTTGAACGCCGATTACAGCAATATGACATCAATATGACTGCTGGGGACACATTCCAGCAACCAGCAACAAGAGAGAGAGTCAGGTTGCACGCCGATTACAGCAATTTGACAGCAATATGACTGCTGGGGACACATTCCAGCAATCAGCAACACGTGAGAGAGTCAGGCTGTACGCCGATTACAGCAATATTCCAGCAATATGACTGTTCGGGACACATTCCAGCAACCAGCAACACGTCAGAGAGTCAGGTTGGACACCGATTACAGCAATGTTCCAGCAATATCACTGCTGGGGACACATTCCAGCAACCAGCAACAAGTGAGAAAGTCAGGGTGAACGCCGATTACAGCAATATGACAGCAATATGACTGCTGGTGACACATTCAAGCAACCAGCAAAATGTGAGAAAGTCAGGTCGCACGCCGATTACAGCAATATGACAGCAGTATCACTGCTGGGGACACATTCCAGCAACCAGCAACACGTGAGAGAGTCAGGATGTACGCCGACTACAGCAATTTGACAGCAATATGATTGCTGGGGACACATTCCAGCAACCAGCAACAAGTGAAAGAGTCAGGTTGAACGCCGATTACATGAATATTCCAGCAATATGACTGCTGGGGACACATTCCAGCAACCAGCAACACGTCAGAGAGTCAGGTTGTACGCCGATTACAGCAATATTCCAGCAATATGACTGCTGAGGACACATTCCAGCAACCAGGAACATTTGAGAGAGTCAGGTTGTACGCCGATTACAGCAATATGACAGCAATATGATTGCTGGGGACACATTCCAGCAACCAGGAACATGTGAGAGAGTCAGGTTGTACGCCGATTACAGCAATATAACAGCAATATGACGGCGAGGGACTCATGCCAGCAACCAATCCTGAGCCACCTACCTGTCATACTGGGGAGTCTGTCTCTCTCTCTGTCTCTCTCTCTCTCTGTCTCTCTCTCTGTCTGTCTCTCTCTCTCACACACTCTCTCCAACTCTCTTTCTCTATCTCTCTCCCTCCCTCCCTCCCTCCCTCCCTCTCTCTCTGTCTGTCTCTCTCTCTCACACTCTCTCACACTCTCTCTCTATCTCTCTCACTCTCTCTCTCTCAATCTATCTCTCTCTCTATCTCTCTCTCTCTGTCTCTCTCTCTCTCTCTCTCTCTCTCTCTCTCTATATATATATATATATATATATATATTCCAGCAGCATGTATGTCATTGAGTCTGGACCAGACAATCCAGTGATCAACACCATTAACATCGATCAACGCAATTGGGGTAGGATGACTGTGCCAGGATCAAGGGAACCTGAGCTGAAGAAGGGCCTAACAAGCCTGACTGTGCAAGGATCAAGGGAACCTGAGCTGATGATGGGCCTGGCCAAACTGACTGTGCCAGGATCAAGGGAACCTGAGCTGATGATGAGCCTAACAAGCCTGACTGTGCCAGGATCAAGGGAACCTGAGCTGAAGAAGGGCCTAACAAGCCTGACTGTGCAAGGATCAAGGGAACCTGAGCTGAAGAAGGGCCTAACAAGCCTGACTGTGCAAGGATCAAGGGAACCTGAGCTGAAGATGGGCCTGGCCAAACTGACTGTGCCAGGATCAAGGGAACCTGAGCTGATGATGAGCCTAACAAGCCTGACTGTGCCAGGATCAAGGGAACCTGAGCTGAAGAAGGGCCTAACAAGCCTGACTGTGCAAGGATCAAGGGAACCTGAGCTGATGATGGGCCTGGCCAAACTGACTGTGCCAGGATCAAGGGAACCTGAGCTGAAGAAGGGCCTAACAAGCCTGACTGTGCAAGGATCAAGGGAACCTGAGCTGATGATGAGCCTAACAAGCCTGACTGTGCCAGGATCAAGGGAACCTGAGCTGAAGAAAGGCCTAACAAGCCTGACTGTGCAAGGATCAAGGGAACCTGAGCTGAAGAAGGGCCTAACAAACCTGACTGTGCAAGGATCAAGGGAACCTGAGCTGAAGATGGGCCTGGCCAAACTGACTGTGCCAGGATCAAGGGAACCTGAGCTGATGATGAGCCTAACAAGCCTGACTGTGCCAGGATCAAGGGAACCTGAGCTGAAAGAGGGCCTAACAAGCCTGACTGTGCAAGGATCAAGGGAACCTGAGCTGATGATGGGCCTGGCCAAACTGACTGTGCCAGGATCAAGGGAACCTGAGCTGAAGAAGGGCCTAACAAGCCTGACTGTGCAAGGATCAAGGGAACCTGAGCTGATGATGAGCCTAACAAGCCTGACTGTGCCAGGATCAAGGGAACCTGAGCTGAAGAAAGGCCTAACAAGCCTGACTGTGCAAGGATCAAGGGAACCTGAGCTGAAGAAGGGCCTAATATAACAAACCTGACTGTGCAAGGATCAAGGGAACCTGAGCTGAAGATGGGCCTGGCCAAACTGACTGTGCCAGGATCAAGGGAACCTGAGCTGATGATGAGCCTAACAAGCCTGACTGTGCCAGGATCAAGGGAACCTGAGCTGAAAGAGGGCCTAACAAGCCTGACTGTGCAAGGATCAAGGGAACCTGAGCTGATGATGGGCCTGGCCAAACTGACTGTGCCAGGATCAAGGGAACCTGAGCTGAAGAAGGGCCTAACAAGCCTGACTGTGCCAGGATCAAGGGAACCTGAGCTGATGATGAGCCTAACAAGCCTGACTGTGCCAGGATCAAGGGAACCTGAGCTGATGATCCCTGCCAGATGTCAACTTTTAAATACTAGAACCAAGTTGTATGCTGTTTATGAACCATTATTACCCATACGGGTGAGGAGATCCCGTGTAATATCTTTTTGATATTTGCACAGAGTGCAATTTAGTGATTCTCGACGTTGATTGGTTGATCATATATTTGTACATTTTCATTGGATGCCGTAACTACTTTCACACACTACGTTCATTTATAAAGTTTCATCGATTCATTGATAAATTGACCGTGATGTAATCGCACTTATTCGAGATTAAAAACAGAACAAAAGCAACATCCAGGATTTCGATTTTGATGCTAATTTAATGTTTCATTTCATACTTCATTAACAATACAGCGTCGTGTACTTAACATGTTTTGTAATAAAAAAAATGTCTAAAATTGATAATCATATTAAAGTCGTCTTTGAAAGCAAACATGGCTACCCAGTTAACGCCAATCAAAGTCAATGACCTGGTCAAGGTGGACGGAGACATTACAGGACGTGTAACAAGAATAACACAACCGCTAAATTCCTTTCCCGTGTATGTGATAAACACGGAATATTGAGAAATGGAAGTTGCAAGGTACAGACTGAAAGTAATGCTGGAAACAATCGCGAGCGAGTCGGCTTCTCACCAAAGTCCCCACCTGTCCCAGAGTGTCATAAATGATTTGCTACAAGATGATTTTTTTTAACCCCAAATCGAAAACAAAACTTTTGACAGGTTTGTTCCTGTTTATGCCCATGACATTGATAACTTTTTGGCTGCGACCGAAAACAAAAAC